CCAGCTTTAACCATCAACAGATCACATTTTCACTTTTTTAAAGCATTGATGAAAGTATATGTCAAGTTGCTGTCCCCATGAACTTGTACATTTAAACAACTTTTTTGACACTTTATTTCCAGGCTGTTAGATATGGGTTTTGAAAGAGATGTTGCTCAGATTGTGAACTCCCTGAATGAGAAACAAGAAGGACACAGACAAACTGTGCTGCTCTCAGCCACACTTTCGCAAGGTATTAAATTGTTACAAAATTTGATAACAGTAATAACTCTGTCTTTTTCAAATCCACTCTACCTCCTGATCTTTTTTTTTCTTTTTTTTAACAAATAACCTCTTCATCCACTAACTCTGTCATTTGCTGGGATTTTCAAACATAATATTTGTATCATTGATTCAGAAATTTAATTTGTATATAAGTTCACTCAGTACTTAAAATTTTACAAACATATTATGAACTTGTTTGTTATGCTTTTTAATTATATTTGATTAAAATTTATAATGAAGGTTGATGAAAGTTTTATAATGAATAAAAATTAAGTATTTGTCTTCTCTACATTGCATTTTCAACTAAATTGTTCACATTAAGCATTGAAAAATACTACTGAAATTGATGATAAATATGTAATAACAGATGTTGATGTTGTGGAATTCTGTTATGAATTTTAAAAAAATTTTGACCATCGTTTCAGGGGTGGAAAGACTTGCTGGCATGAGCCTTGTCAATCCCCAGCTCGTAGAGGTCTCCAAACCCGTCACGGACACCAAGGTGTCAAAGCCAGACAGCATGACAGTGACACAGACGACTGATGACAAATTTGTGATACCAGAACACTTGCAGCAGCACTTCATTGTGGTTCCTAGTAAACTGAGGCTTGTCACCTTGGCAGCGTTTATTTTACAGAAGTGCAAGGTAAATAGGCATTTTGTCAGACAAAGAGGGGGAATTGAAACACCTGGAAACAGATTCTCATTGCATTTTTGGTGTGTCCTTCTTAATTCCTTACGTCATTTTCACCTTAAACATTCATTAAAAAAATAATAATAGTATTGAAATATTTGCCTCTCAGTCATTCTACCATTTTTCACTACTATAAGCCTCCATATGTGTGTGATCTTAACATTTTGTTTTTTATAACTTACTTTCAAACATGGTATATTATGTATAACAGTTGTTATTATGATATTGAAACAGTGTAAGGACCTTAGGTCATAAAATATTTATTTTATACACTTATGAATTAAAATTTAATGTCCTTGCAGCTCATACAACATCATATTATATCCTCACTCTGGTCTTGCATCCTGACCTGTTATATTACAGCTGGTATTTTCTTACTGTGAATTTTGATACAATTTATTTCAGTATGCTGCAGAGAATAACAAGATGGTGGTCTTCATGTCGACCCAGGATTCCACAGAGTTCCATCACTCTCTGCTTGTTAACACCATTGCCAGCTTTAAGGAAGAGGAGGAGGAGGGAGATGAGAGAGATATTGAGATCTTCAAACTACACGGAGATATGGTACAAAAAGTGAGTGGTTTGTAGACAGGGGCTGGTTTAACCAAAGAACTTTGGACCAAAAGGTGGTAATTGTATAACTTTTAGACCAAAGTTTTGGTCTTACTACTTTGATTCTAATATAAATGTGTAGTAGTCTACCATGATAATGTACTATTGGTGTGAAAAAGTAGCTGCTGTTTGTTTGGGATCTTGTCATTAATGTTTTAAAGATATATATCATTGGACTGCTAACAGTTGTGACCAATTTTCACATTCAAGTTCTCATTGCCTTGTGATAACTTGAGACATCTTTCTTTCGGAATATGTCTAATTTAATGCATGCTCTGTGTACATTTGCCAGGCCCCAGTTTCACAAAAAAAAAAACAAAAAACAACAAAAAACTTCAGTCAGTTCCCTGGCTTAGCTGACTAGGATTTCGAAAAGAGTGCTGTTATACTACTCCTGATAGAGTAAGATGTGCACATGTGATCATGTAACCTTGGTAATTAAGGAACCTGACTTAAGTTTTTTTGGTGAAACCGGGGCTAGGTTTGCTGGCTAGTTTGTCTTTCTCACTTGTGACAGAGGTGTTTTTCAGTCAAAAAAAAAAAAAATGAAGAAGTTGGAAGTGAATTTTGTATTTTGTGTGTTTCAGGAAAGAACTCAGGTTTTCCAAGACTTCTCTAGTACTAGATCCGGCGTACTTCTCTGTACAGTAAGTGTAAAAAATATAATTTTATTGATATTGATAATAATGAAAAAGTTAAAAGTTTCAAACAGTATTGAAATTCACTTAATAGACTGAGTATAGTCTGATATGTATTAAATCATATATGTGAAAATCTGACGTGGATTGCTGTGTGAAAAGTCACTGTAATATTTTATGAAAATTTTATTTCTGCACTGATGATTTTATGACTTCAAGTGAAAATTAACTAAAGCAGATTTTTGGTAGGTAGACCTGGTAGCAGGTAAAAATGATAAATCTTTAAAATATAAATTATTGGAATGAATGAGGTGCTCGGTAAGTAATTATGCTTATTGTGCCTGGATAGGACGTAGCAGCCAGAGGGTTGGACTTACCCAAGGTGAAGTGGATTGTGCAGTACAATACCCCGGGGACCCCCACTGAATACATCCACAGGGTGGGGCGGACGGCTAGGGCAGGGACCAGGGGGAGCTCACTTCTATTCCTGTCTCCCTCAGAAGTGGACTATGTCCAGGTCCTCAATGACCACAAAATAAGGTGAGGAAAGCTGCTGCAGTGACTTGACCATAGTGTTGAAATAGGTTTTTGATTGGGTAATTTTTGTAATGAGATTGAAATTAAAGTAAATCAAAATTTCACTTCATTCTTTTATGCCCATTCTACAGCACTCTTAAGCAGAAAAACATGGAAAATTTACTATAAAAAATACTAATCATTTTCAAACCATTTAAATTGCAATTGTTTAAGATTGTGCTGCAATTTATTTATTTAGGAAAATTCATCTGCATCTGAACTAAGCCATGGTTTATAGTTATGATGAGTACTATTTTTATTCAGTTTTATTTTATTTATTTTATTTTATTTTTTTTTGTTGTTGTTGTATCCTGTCATATTCTGTCACATTGTATATTATTTTGATGAACCACAGGGCTAAAAGATTGAATAAATCTAATTGAGTGGATATTTAATTTAGTGAATGTGATATTAACTGGTTTTTTAGTATGGAGGAAGTTTCCATGAAGGAAGTGCTGCAGACATTGATGGTACTTAGTCAGGAGTTGGCAGAAGGAAGGAAAAGCAAGGTATAATGTTGAATTGTCTGTACCTGATATCAAACATAAATTTAGTCTTCAAGGGTCATTATGTGCATATTTTGCAGAGGGGCCTTTTTGTCCTTGATTTATCTGATAGCCTATAAAAAAAACGAAGAAATGATCACTTAATGGAATAAATACTGAAAAAATGATGTTAGTAAATGTGACCAACACTCACTTTATAAACTTTCATTTAGTTTCATTTAGTTTTTTAATAACAATTTTGATTTGAATATTAAAATTGTAGCCCTTAGTTTGGATAATTCTGTGCATGCATACAGAACAGGGCTTGCAAAGGAGACAATTTTTAGCATTTCTTTTCACCAGGAAGTTCTGTTTTTATGTACTGAATAATTAAAACATAATTTGGAAATGGTTGAAGCACTCAAATACTAATAATGTCATTTGAGTAAAGGAGTTGATTTTTTTAAACCCTTTTGATTCTCAAAAAAAATTTTTAGTTCAAAATATTGCTTGTAATAAAAGGTGGAAAATTCTGAAGTGTAAAGCGCTCATCTTACAATAATAACAACAACAGGAGTTGATTATTAATGTAAAATAGTATAAGATATTTTTTTTTCCAACTTGGGTGCTGTGGTATTCCAGGGTCGCCATCCACACAGCGTTGAAGAGAGTGCCACGGTGCTTCAAAACAGATTTGAGACATACCTGTACCAAAACAAAGAAAGAATACAATTAGCCAAAAAAGGTAACAGACTGTCATTTAGCTTTATTTTTCACGATCGTTTTGTAGTAACTACTAACTCTGTGCTTTTAATTTTTTGTTGACTTTCAAAAAACATTTTACAGAAATAGTGTACGGCTCTGGCATAATGCCTTTAGTTATAATTAAACTTATTAGTTAAAAGTATTTATATATTATTAACCAAAATAGGAGACAAAATATGCCTTTTTACCAAATTTAAGCATTGCTTTCAAATCATTGACAAATTTTAAGATTCAAATGACTTGTGAATTTAGCTAACAAGTGGATGTGCATAGCATGTTATACGTTAATGTCAATATTGTTTTCAGCTTACCAATCTTTCTTGAGATCATACGCCACCTATCCATCCAACCTGAAGCATATCTTCCATGTGAAGAATCTCCATCTGGGACATGTTGCCAAGAGCTTTGGTCTGCGTGAAGCTCCAAAACATATCTCCCAGTTCAAAGACAACAAATATGCTGTAAAACTCCAGCGTAAAACTGAAAGGAGGTAAAATTGTTGTTTTTTCTGAATTTTTGTGACTATCTCTTTATTAATATTGCAAGCTCTAATCAATCTTGTTTCTTTGCAAAGTTACATGGTGACTCGTTCACTGATGTAAGCTCTGTATTATGTATTTTTACATGTTTTCACATCACTGTTTATGTTAGAGATTTGAGTTTTAATTGTAAAAGGTTTTTGAAGTTCATACTTTGAATTGAAGGAAAAAACCTCTTTCACCGCAGATACATTGGGTGTTATCACAAAATGGTTATTTATTGGAATAGAATGTAATATCAGTATACATAATCAATAAATTTGGAAATGGAAAATTGGATAATGGTAAAAAAAGGAAAGAAAAAATCCCCCCCCTTGAAATGACTGTTGTTGGAGATCTTATACAAATCCAGCAACTTGGGAAACTTCTTTTTTGCAAAAGAAGGAACTCTTAAAAAATTAAACATTTCTGTCCTTAAGAAGCTGTGTATTCAGACTCTATCTGTTAGCCTTTCAGAACTTTGGATTACAGTGAACATTTTGCTTGGAATTTCAGAGAACAGTTGCATAAGGAGGCTTCCCTTNCCCGTATAAATGACTGTTGTTGGAGTTCTTACACAAATCTAGAAACTTGGGAAACTTGTTTCTTGCAAAAGAGGGAACTCTTCAAAAAAAAAAGAAGACAATTCCTGTCCTTTAGAAGCTGTGTATTCATACACATATCTGTTAGCCTTCCTGAACATTGCATTACAATGAACATTTTGCTTGAAATTTCAGAGAACAGTTGCATAAGGAGGCTTCCCTTCCACACAAGAGGGTCAATATGTCTGAATATGCTAGTGGCCTGGATGTGGTAAAAACGGTCAAGAAAAGAAAATCAAGGAACAAAAAGGCTGGAAAAAACAAGAAGAGAAAGTGATGAGAAATGGGAACCAGATTGAAACCTGAGCTACATATATTTAAGTTATTTAAGAACAGGATGTTGTTTTTCAGCCAATTTAGTAATGTAGCTAGTCCAAGCCATACACAACTATTGCCCAAATTTATTTCACATTAAACTGAGACTGTTGCAGAGGACTAAAATTCTGTCATTATTTTAAAAATTTAACCAGTCAGTGACATATTTATATTTGTTTGTTGAAAAGTTTTTTTCAAATACAATATTGTTATTCTTCATTATCAAATCATACTCGCTGAAGTACCCGTTTTGCCCACATGGAGCTATAATTTTTTTATTGTGTTAAATGTTTGTGTCCATCTCTCCAAACACAATCAGCAATATGCGCATTGCTGTTTTTTTTTTTTCAAGATGATACAGTTTAATTGAATGTTTTGGTACAATTTACATTGTACTGTATTATTTTGTGACTAAACTATTATTTTAACATCCTTTTGTTCAACCAATAATTTTTTCATTGATATGTGGCTGACTAGACCAAGATGGTTTTATGAGTAACTTCTGAATCACTTAAAAGGCCAAAAAATGAATTTACCTGGGGTAAACGACAATTTTTCCATAATTACCAGCGGTTAATGAATGCATTTCTACATTCAAAGTTAGTCCCTGTTTTTTTTTTTTCTTTAAGGTTTTTTTTTTTCTTTTTTGTAATAATCTCTTAAGAGATAAAGAGATTATTACAGAATAGCCATCTATGGAGGTCACGTGGTCCGATGATAAACAGAGATTTCAGAATAATTGCTATAACTGCCATTTTTGTGGAAGAATAGAATATTTTAAATATCGAGTTGTTTACAATGCATTCATTGTGAAATAAAGATCTTATACGGAGAGTTGTTATCCCTTTAATTTTATTTTTGAAATGATGGATTCGGTACTTTTAATCGCTCTTATATTATTGTGTGAGAGATCTTTATCAGGTTTGTCTCTGACTTTTAAAAGAAAAGCCTCAGGTTGGCGTCGCCGGAAGGTAATGTTATCAAGTTAGGTTGTAAAAGTTGAAAACAAACAGCACACTGTTTTCCAAGAATGTATCATTCACAAACATTGTGTGAAATTACTTAGATGCTAATTATCACATAGCTAATTAATATCCAACATTCAAGATTTGGAGGAAATGTTACTTTAAGACTTCCACATCTGTGAAATTGCACCTCCCGCAAGAAAGTAGGTTGTTGACTTTATATGATGTTATGTGTAATTTGACCAAGAAAAACGGAAGTCGTACAGGCGAACGGCTGAGCAAGGGTGATGACTGTACAGTGGCGCCATCTGAAGGCTGTTTGTTACGATTGTCAAAGGTTGACTTCTGAAGAGGCCAGCTGTGCAAAATTTCTAAGATTAACTATTGTTATAATGTATTATTATTATTGTTATTTTCCCCAAAATTTTTGAAATGTGAGCAGAAATAGGTAAAAAATCATTGAATGTCTAGCGAAAAAATTCTCCACGGCACTGGTACAATTTTGAAATTATGTCAAAGGCGTGCACTTGTTGTCACATGGATTGGCAATTCTTTTTCTCTCTCATTTTGTTGTTAAGTACTGTTTGTATAAAATATCTAGTCAGCTGTTTCTGTGATTGACCAATAATTTATAGTATTGTGGAAGAACGTCTGAGTATTTTATTAATCCTTCATTTCTTTAGTTGGGAAAGGGAGATGGGTTGGGAGACGTTTTTCAGTCCCAAACTAAGACACACTGGCCACTGATTTTTCAGCTGGACAAAAAATCTTAATAATCTTAATTGTCTGTAGAATGTGCAGGCAAGGTCGGTCCGTACTATGGGAGACCTATGCCCTTTGGACTGTTACCTAAAAAAAAAAAACATGTCTATGCCAACAATCCCCAAACTACTGTTCCTCTCAAGAATTTCGAATGGAGATAAGAGAATTCCCCATGACATGTTGAACATTGTTATTATAAACTTCAGTGCTCGAGTAGCCACAGTGATTCAGCGTCTATGAGCTTGGATTAAACGCATTATAAACTACTGGGCTGTGCTTGCAAAATGATGGTGTACGAGGGAAAAAGGCACACCACACAAATCTTATGTGTCTGTGAGACAGGTGTGAGAAAAAATGATAAATTTTCCTTTCAATAGAAAATGATACTTTTTCAATAATGGAAACATCTTTTTGGACCATACTATATTATTCTGGGCCCTGTATCTTGAGAAAAAAATCGAAACTTTCTTGGGATTTACTAGCCTCGATAAAACAGTGAAATTTAATGTTACTGTTAGCTTTCTCAAAGTTTTTTTTTTTTTTTTTTTTTTTTTTTTTGCAATTGGAGAGGAGACTGGGTGATTGGATATTTTGAAGAAAACCTTTTTATCTAGCTATAATAGACAATTGGTAGGGTAAACATATTCTACGGTATAATGTAGGTGTTGGATAGCAGAAGTTGATTTAATCACGTAGAGGATGTTAGCAGTGCAAAGTTATACAACCTGATATACTTTATTATATATTTATGATCATATTGCACATTGGTGGTGCGTTGTGAAATACAAGTATACCGGTGTAACAGGAATGGAAGTCCGCTAGGAACCGCAGTCCGCTCCCCATTTCTTTGTACAGGTGACATTCGTCCGAAATACTAATCCCAGTACTGCAACTAACCCTTACCTGTACTAATCATTTGGGACCCCGGAAGCTTAAAGAAGGGTTATGTATCCCCCATATCTCGTCATTGCAAAGGATACCAATATATTCAGTTAAAGAAAAAACAAAAGAAAAAAGATAGCATTGAGACAGATACCATGTGGCGAATTTCAGCTTAAAGCAATATTTATAAACTCGGGATTTGATACAGAAATGTTAGCTCTCGGAAACAATATCATTTAAGCAGTTCAAGATTTTTTAAGTGATCCATAGACTTATGGCGTCTACGCCCCTACAACAATTTGTATTCAACTACAAGAGCGCGAGCGCATGATGATAAACTGTATATGTAAAAAATAATAACAATAACATTGAGCGTGTTTGAATTCTAAAACTCTCTCTCTCTCTCTCTCTCTCTCTCTCTCTCTCTCTCTCACACACACACACACACACTCACACACACGCACACATAAATGCACACACAAGAATCTAGGGATTCCGCCGCAACTTGTATTTTACATTTTTTTCCAGTAACTCTATCTCATTCACATACAAAAACATACCCTTCACGGGCAATGTAGTCATAATAATTTTAAGGCAATTATTGCTATCCTATTATTAATGCAAAACATCTGATGGTTAATTTTTTTCCTTTCAGAAATTATTTCTAAGATAAATGCAATTATTGCTATCCTATTATTAATGCAAAACATATGATGGTTAATTTTTTCCGATCAGAAATTATTCCTAAGATAAATGCAATTGTTCATATTTTTCTGAGAAAAAGTCCCGTGTCCCAGCCACATTAAGACCAGTAGGTTGACTAGTTATTTTCCCGACCTCGGTTTAATCAGCCCCTACAAACCAATTCATAATACTAGATGATCGTCCATAATCAACGCTGGTAATACACTTAAACACAACAAACGCCTTAATCAAACCTCATTTTCTTGACATTAAGAGATACAGTTATTTCAATTAATGGTATCGACTTTGCAAGTCGACGTAGAAAAGCAATCCACTTTCTTTAATTACAAGACAAGAACGTAGCGGACTAATTCCCCGGTAATAGGCGGCCTCTGGAAGCCCGGCTTCTGCACGATTTTTGCCCGTAGTGTGCATCAGAAATACAAGGGAAAGGGCATGGGAACTACCAAGGGCAATAGCAACTATGATGCATAGAGGGAAATATCCTTTAATTAGTATTTATACCCTCCCTTGGGGAGAGAATGAGGCCCCGGGGATGCTAGTCGACAATTTGACATACCGTTAATCACTCAGCGCTCAAGGGGGACGCTATAGTAATAAGTGGTTGAGACAAAACTTTTTTTAAGTTGAGGGTAAAGTGGTAGGGCTATTTGGTAATGATGTCTTTTAGTTGGCGTGTTTTCTAACCCACCCTGGAGTAAAACTGAATATATTAACACTTTTAAAAATAATGTGTTGGGTGCGAAGTCGGGACCGCTCAAGGGAGGAGATTGCTAAGTGTCGTGTTTACCGGAATAAAGCCCCTTTCTTTATTGTTATATAATTAAATTTGGGATTTGGATTTATTCAATTAGCCCGTCAGGTTGGGCCTAGGGTTTCCACTTTTGAAGATGACACCGTGATCAATTTTTGTCATTTTGGACAGTGTCTTTCCCCACGGGACCATTTGATGTTTTCGCATTTTTATATTCAATTGTACATTATAACCGCTGGCTGCATTTATTTATATGTAGTAAAGCATCTTTAGAACTAAGTTGGGATTTAGCCACGGATAAAGGATCTACATCGAATTCTATTGTAGATATAAATCGGAAATAATCTCACTTTAATATCAAACTGTCGACAAACGATGGTGGTCTATTTCTCAAGACATATTATCTGATATTCTACTGTCACCGTTTTCTATTTATTTGATTGGAATCTTCACACATGAGGACTTCAACATATACTTCTGCATCTGGGTAATCATTGGCAATATCATTATAAATTGATCATCGATTTCTAAGATGTGAAGTTAATTTTCGCCATACTGTAGCTCAAAAAGACTCATTGCGAATATGATTTTAATTTTCCGGCGAGCTGCTTTGAAGAGACAGATTATATATAACAAACTAATGTTCATTAAAATTTTTTTTATAAATTAGCTTGTCAGGATGAAGGTTAATCATATCTTAAATACTTACGTGGTGTGGTGTGGCGTTTTTGGTTTCACATTTTTGTGCAGTTGAAGAACGATGCGTTTCATTCGAAAATATCCATAATCTCTGTTGTATTGATTTAAGTTTTATCTGTACTTTAAATTTGAATTTCACCATAGCTTAACTTGTTAGACACCACAAAAGTAACACATAATTTCTGCTATAGTTCAAGGTATATACAATACAACTGTTTGGTATACGTATGTTGTTTGACTAAAATCTGCCAGCTAGATGGTTATCGCTAATTGTTTTCATTGTCTGGTAGCAAAAAAATACATTTAGACGTGGAAAATGAACGCCTATCTATATAAGAGACGTCGCACACTCTCTCCCTAACCCACCCCTACATTAGTATGCAGTTTCTAATAATGGGATTGCTTTCTTCTTCTAGCGGAGTAAATTGCGTTTGTTTAATTGACCAAGGCTTTTTTCTTCAGGGTATCTCAACCCCTGACTGTTAAACTGTTTATTCTTTTCTTAAAAGAAGGAGAAAAAACGCTTATCAGAAATGACAAAATTGCCCCCCTCCTAATTGCGGGACTTAGCCGTGCAAATGGAACTGAACGCTGCCTTGAGGGGAGAGAAACCTTTCTTCGTAGTCGGGGATGGTGAGAATTTTCTGGTGATGTGCCGTTTCTCATCCATCTCATTTCTGACACATGAGACACGGGACGACGAGTGCTCACAAGATTTAATTAAGGGACTAAATAAATAACTGAATAAAAATAAACTTCTAAGGTTTAAACCCCCATAACTCCATGATGTTTCCAAATTTCATATGTTATGGATCGAATATTTTCTGCAAC